GATGAAGGAGCAATGTAAATAGACAATAGTTGATGGTTGTTATTATCCGGCATTAATATATTGATACCAACTAAGTTGATAAGAAAGGTACTGAACATTTGTTTCAGACTGTTATTCAGTGTAATGGGACAAAAATGAATTGATGAATGGGCAGGCCCGCATTTAGGGGGGGGGCATTGGGGGCATTTGCCCCGGGCGGCAAAAATCTTAATAGGTATACAATTTTTAAAAATTAATTATTTTTATTTAATTTAAAATTTTTTCAAACAGAACAATTTATTTTTATGAAACAAAAATATCTATTTCTAAAAAAAAATATTACTTTATTATTTTCCAACTTAAAACGTGTACAAATATATAAATGTAAAAGAAGATATATCAAAGCTGTATAACAATATAGACTACAGTTAGTAGTTAGATAATAGTATTGATTATACATAGTAATATTTATAATCAACAGCACTATAAATAAAGTAGGCGGCAATTTATTTGATTCATGTATCTATCTAATTTTAACAAAGTATTGATATTTTCTTCCTTAAACTGGTTTTGTGGATGTCGTCAGCCGTTGATAGTCGATTATTATTGGAATACTAAGAAAGTTAAAACACAATAATTTGTCTCATTTTTCACAAAATTATTATCTAATAATGTCACACTAATAATGTGTTGTGTACAGACAGCTCATTGTGTATAGTACTCGACTACAAGTGACCGACTTAATGTGTTGAGGTGTTTTTTTTTATTTGTATATTTTATTATTTATTAACGTATTAAAATGAGTGATGGCAGAAAACGTTTAAGTGGAAGTGCTTATAAAAAAGTTGCTAAATTAAAATTAGAAAAAGAACAAAAAGTCATTTCTCAAACCGCAAAATTAACTTCATTTTTTGGTAATCAACGACCATCAATCTCCAATTCGCCAAATGAAATAGAGACTACAGCTGAACAGATTTCAAATGAGTCGAGTGATAAAAAGTAATTTAAAAATCATATGTTAACTTTTGTACGTTATTTCAGTTTTATATAAATTAAAAATTTTATATTTTGTTTAGTGAGCCTAATCTTCAGAGTCCTCTTGAAGCCCTAGCAAATGAAAATCAAATAATTAAAAATTCGGAAAAACAATTAATAAATACGTCTTCTATTACACCAAGGTAAGGCGTACAAATCAAAAAGAATGCTTTAAGCATATGTTATCTGATGTGAGTTAATTCAGTTTTTTAAAATAAAGAATTTTATAATTTTTTAGTGAACATCCTCTACATTGTACTTTTGAAACCATGGAAAATGAAAATCAATTAATTGAATATTCGGAATTATTAAATACGTCTTCTATTATTCCAAGGTAAGGCGTTCAAATCAAATAGAATACTTTAAGCTCAATCTCAGAAGTCTAAAATATGTTTAACATTTTACATTCACATTTATTTTTTTCTTCTATCTAGATATATTATTTTTGATATATTAATAAAAAATTATTATATAACGATCTCAGTAAATGAATATTAAGATGACCCAAAATATTATCGATGTTTCATTTTTCAACAGCATCTTGGCTTAAGGACCTCCTCGTGCCTATTTATTAAGGGGCAAAATATAGGCAATTTTTGGCTTTTTTTTTATTAAACTATTGGCCACTTGGCAAGGCGTGAGTTTTTCCCGTAAAGCATGTTTTTGGGCTAAAAAACAAGTCGCAAGCAGACCCCTTAATATCTTTAGTAAGTTAAAAAATAAGTTCCTCAAATTTTTTTTGAAGAAAAATATTTTTTAGTGCTTGCTAGTCGTAAATTTGTGTAACTTGGTAGTAGAGGTCAAAATGCCTAAACATTTCGGAAATAAATGGAAAAATTTCGATCAAAAAATAGTTTTTTTCTGAGGTATCGAAAAAAATGGAGCAACTCGAACTTTTTTAATAATTCATTAAAAAAAAAATACATTTTTTAGGTCTAATGTAATAAGCAGGAAGTTTTATTTCCGTATAAATCTTACATTTTGTTAGAATAATATGTGAAATACATTTAAAATAAATCGACTTTTTTTTAATTGATGAGATCATAAAGATTCAATAAATAATGTTNGTAATATGTGAAATACATTTAAAATAAATCGACTTTTTTTTAATTGATGAGATCATAAATATTCAATAAATAATGTTACAATACAATAATGAGATTGAAAATAGAATAAAATCATTTTTGACATTACCATCAAGCTAAATATACAACTATGGTGTTGTTTATCTTTCTTGATGATTATAACAAAACGAAAAAAAGATACATTATGTCATGTTTTCTAGTAATTTTAGTAAAAAAAAAAATATTAACCCAAATGCGTGAGGACTAAATCCAAAATAATTTTAACTTAACTAAGTCCTTATTTCAAAAAATATTTTAAGAATTATAATAAATTTTAAAATTACAAAAAAATCATTATAAAATCAATACATTTCTCGTTCCGTTTGGAATATAAAATAAAAATAGCTTAAATGAAGGTAGTTGGTAGTTGTACTAACACGTTCGCTGAGGATCTATTTTATATACACATTGGCCCAGGCCTACCCAGTAAAAATATTTTAGCTACGCGCCTGGTGCTGACCAGAATAATGTCTTTTTTTCTATGACACCGATTGGTGACTTCCAATAATTTTTTAATAAGACGCTGTTTGACGCCGTTCAACGTCAAGTTAAAAATTTTTAATTTAAATACTTTTTACTCTATAATAATTTTAATTTTAAATTAATGTTTTGTAAAACTTGACAACATTTAATTATAATATTTTAACTTATAAAAAAAACGCTCATAAAACTATTAATAATATTACTTATAAATAATTAAGTTTACATTTGTTTCTGAATAATGCATCATCGAAATTTAGAATGATAATTTTTGAAGCATGGTTGTTAACATCGACTATTTATTAAGTTTTCATTTTTATTTTGTTTTAGTTCTGATCCAGCTCTTTGGTCTATTAATGAAGATTTAATTAATTATGTATGCTTTCATGGTTTTACTCAAGATTTATCAATAATTAATTTTTCTAAATCTAAGAGAAGCTTTCTTAGAACGGTAAAAGGAATAAAAAAAACAATCAACAGGTCTTGTAAAATTAGTTATTTTCAAGGAACTTTAAAAAATGGAGAGAAATTTCGCAGAGAATTTTTAGCGTATTCTGAGACTAAAGGAGTTCTCTTTTGCTATCCATGTCTTTTATTTTCCTGTAAATCTTCATTTGGTTCGACTGGATTTTCTCTTTGGAAAAAAGCAGATGAAAAAATACAAGAACATTTAAATTCATCAACTCATCGGTCTAATATTTTGAAAATGAAACTACGCGGGGTGACTCTTAATCGCATTGATAGTGGTCGAGAGAGAACGACTTTATTGGATTCAAATTTTGAAAAGAGTTGAGGCAGTAGTAAAAAAGTTAGCATCAAGAGGATTAGCACTTCGAGGTGATACATCAAAATTAGGTTTCAAAAACAATGGCAACATTTTAATGGCTATTGAGTTATTATCTGAATTTTACCCTTTTATGGCTGAACATCTCAAACAGTATGGAAATCCTGGCAGAGGTTTTACATCTTATTTATCTTGTAATATATATGAAGAGATAATAAAAATTATGGCTGAAAAAGTTTTGTCAACAATTATTCAAGAAATAAATGATGCTCATTATTTTTCAATTAGTGTTGATTCAACTCCTGACATATCACACATTGATCAATTATCATTATGTATTCGTTATGTTAATAGTGATGGAAGTCCTGTTGAGCGTTTTATTTGTTTTCTAGATTATATTGGACATAAAGCTGAAAATATAGCAGATGCTATATTTACAATATTGAAATCTTATAAACTGAATATTGCAAACCTTAGAGGTCAATCATATGATAATGCCAGTAATATGGCAGGTGCATATTCTGGACTGCAAACAAGAATAAAAGCAGTAAATCCCATGGCAAAATTTGTTCCATGTGCAGCACACTCTTTAAACTTGGTCGGTATGAACTCTGTGAGCTGTGTATTGAAGCAGTCAAATTTTTTAATTTACTTCAAATTATATATAATTTCTTTTCTGCTTCAACACACCGGTGGGAAATTCTTAAATCCACTGTGAAATCTCTTTCAGGTACCAGGTGGTCAGCTAGAGAAGATGCTTGTAAATCTTTAAATGAAAATTGGAGTTCAATTATGAATGCCTTAAATATAATTGAATGCGATGCAAATGAAAAGCCTAATACTCGGTTTGAGACTAAATGCATAAAAAAAAAACTAGACACTTTAGAAATAGGATTTTTATCAATATTTTGGGGTAATATTTTACAGAGGTTTAATGCTGTTAGTAAAAAGCTGCAGTGTGTGAATGTTGATTTAGGTGTTGTGGTAGAACTTTATAACTCATTAATTACTTATGTAACAGATTTTAGATCTGACGAGGCTTACGAACACTTAAAATCTCAAGCAATTGAAAAAATTAATGTAAAACAATTCAAAAATGATCAAAAACGTTTAAAAAAGAGAAAAACATGCCTTGATGAAGGATCAGCTGAAAATGTTACCTTTACAAAATCAGAATCTTTTAAAGTTGACACTTATTTTGTCATGTTAGACAAAATTAAAGCTGAACTTAAAAAAAGAAAAGAATCATATGATCTTCTTCTTGATANAAAAAAAGAAAAGAATCATATGATCTTCTTCTTGATAACTATAAATTTTTTTTGAAGTTAACAAATATTTCAGTACCTGAAATATTTAAAAATGCTACGAAACCTCAAAAAGAATTTGAAATTGATTTAGAACCTTTATTTGTGAATAAATGTTTACATTTGAGAGGACATTTAAAAAGTCTTTCTGATGGTATTACGAAAACGATTCAAGAGATTTGTATGTTTATCAGACAGAAAAACTTACAAAGCATTTATCCTTATATTGATATAGCTTTGAGAATGTTGCTATGTACTCCCATAAGCAATTGTTCAACGGAGAGATCTTTTTCAACTTTAAAAAGAATTAAATCGTATCTAAGATCTAGTACGTCTGAGGATCGACTTAATAATTTAGCTTTATTGTCAATTGAAGGTGAATTGACATCTAAAATAAATTATGATGAGGTAATTGAAAAATTTTCGTGTATTAAGAGTAGAAAAAAATTATAATTGTTTTTCTTGCTTATTGATTAACTGTTGTTATGTTAATAAATGATATTTATAAATAATTGTTTTATTATTAATATTCCTAACTTGAAAAAAATTCAATTATAAATTATCAAATGGCCCATTTTTTACTCTTAAAAGAAATTTATGATTTAAAATAATGGTTAGGGCGTCAGTGGCACATTTATGGGGGTCTATGGGGATTGTACCCCCCACCCATGGTCCAATTGATGTCTAATGTAAACAAGGGAAATTGCTTTGAAGACTTTTTTTTTTTTGCTCAACTAAAAAACCCAACCCAACACTTTTTGGGGGGCGGCAAAATTCCTTAATGCGGCCCTGATTATACATAAAATTATAGTAGACGATGTATTTTGGAATTAGTTGGTTCGATACTAGCGTATTACCTTTTTTTTATGTTGCCTTGTTTAATTATAATTATATTCGATTTAAATGTATTTAAGAGAGATTATAATTAAAAAAATATACTATAGTATACAACATAATCATAATATCACTTATTTTTCAATTGACATTTGTACAATATTATTTTCATGAATTCAACAGATATTGACTGAACTTAAAAAGTTATTTGTTTTTAAGTTAATATTCATTATAATAGCTGCTAATCTTGCTAATATATTGAAATTTTTCAGTAATGACGATTTTGTAGCATTAATATTGTGTCGGTATTCGGCTAACGCTTGGCACAAGTCCGGCGAGCCAGGGCAAACTAGTACTGGAGGTTTAGTAGCGTCAGTTCTCCGCCGGAATTCGATCAACTATGACGTTACAGCGGCAGCCAATACTTACAGTCAGTACTGTCTCAGTACATAAACAAGATAACAATCAATACTATGACAGTACGGGCTAGGCAGCTATCAGATGCTAGTACTATGACTTTAGTTTATACTGGCGTTGTATAAATATTTCTGTTGCGTTATGTTATGATGTATACAGTTGTTCGGTCGTGACGAAACAGTTTGGTGGGTGAGCGCCGGTTTTTTATTCTCTTCAACAAGAGCGCGACCTGTCACAACTGGTTTACTTGTTAGGGTAGTGTGTGGCGGTGGTCGCGAAGATTCATTCGCGTATCGGCATGCATAGAGTGGTTTTGTGTATCACGGACTCTAGTGCGTTATTTTGTTGGTTTTGTTTTCTTTGACGGTTTTATGTGTTCAATTCACTCTGTTGATTGCGTCGGGCTCAACTGCTTTACTTGACACATTCACTATCTTCTTTTGGGTACAGAAAGCAAGGTCAGACTATACATTTTCTGTTTGTCAAAATATTAATTACTAAAAATTTATGTTGTTGTATTTTAGTATATTAGTTTTTAAATGTAAGTACTAACAATAGATTTAAGATAAACCAATTTTGTTACTGTATTAGAGAGTACATATTAAATTAGATAAAAAAATTACAGTCCATTAAAAACGCTTTCTTTTAATTTTATCTAAAGGAATCTTTAGACGTGATTTCACTCGGCGATTGGTCGTCCGAGTATTTCGTGTCGCACATTTTGGTCCATTCGGGACGGATTTTTTATAAATTTATTATTTTAATCTTTAATGTAATTTTTAGAATTTGTTTTAATTGCTTAGCTTATAGGGTTTTTTTTATTGTAAGTGCCTATTTTGCTGCTTAAATCCTATTTTTATCTTGTTTCTGCACACAAAACGAATAATTGAAGATGCCGCGCAGTAAAAACATAAAGGTAGTACCGGAGCTATCTCGGGTGTTAGTGCGTGCGCGAGCCGCTCGTGACAGTGCAGTACGCACGGTACGTAACGTGTTTGCGTTATCCCTCGAAGCGCGTACAGACGTGTCGAAACAACCGTCATTTTGTTCACGGGCAGACACAATCGAAAAATATATTAATGAGTTCGAGGAACAACAGGGAGCCATATTGAATGCTCTTGTTGATATAGATCGCGTAAACGAATTTGAGACGATCGACGCGCTAGTCGCAGATGAATTTGAAGATATGTGTGGGAACATTAAGTGTATGTTACAAACACTAAAGCCAGTTTCTTATATTAATCAAGAAATTATAAAAAACGAAACACCTACTCGAGCCGTTCATGCGGTCTCGTTTCCTAAATTTGACTTGCCGAAATTTGATGGAAATATTACTGAGTGGTGTTCATTTCGAGACACATACGAAGATTTAGTTCATAACAATAAGGATATAGCTGTTATTATGCGTTTTCATTTACTGACGTCATGTCTATCGGGTCCACCGTTAACAATAATAAAATCGGTGCCATTAACGGCAGACAATTACACAATAGCCTGGGACGCATTGAAGGCCCGCTATGAAAATAAAAGATTACTAGCTACAAAGCATTTAGATAAAATATTCGGTTTTAGTCCTATTAAAAATGAATCTGTTTCATCGCTGTCATTATTTATTAATATATTCCGTGAAAATATAACGGCTATCAAAAAACTTGGCATTGAAGATGTTAGTGGTTTTATTCTATTTTATATTGGTTCTCGAGCTTTGGATATAGAGACAAGGAGATTATTTGAGGCGAGCATTTTACAATCTAATGCACCTACTTTAGAAAATCTTTTGGACTTCGTGTCACAAAGAGTTCATATTTTGGAAAATATCGGTACTATTGATAATACAACTGAAACCGCAGTCAAGGTCACGGGAAAAAGGGGCCAGTCCAACATTACTACTCAAGCGTCTTATGCAGTGTCCGTGGCGTCACACAGATCTAATAAATGTGTATGTTGCCACCAAGAACATTCTATTTATCGGTGTTACACTTTCAAGAGGAAAACGGTTTCGGAGAGAAAAAAGTTTGTTATAAATAACGGATTATGTTTTATTTGCCTTAGGAGCGGGCATACGGCCAGTTCATGTGCCAGTGAATACAATTGTAAACATTGCTTTGGAAAACATAATATATTGCTACATGAAGAAAAAGGTAATTCTTCTCAGGTTGACGATGTTAGAGGCGGGGAAGAAGAGACAAGTTCATCATCAACGTCAGACCAAGTAGCCGATACTTCTCAAGTGTTTTCAGGTTTGGCTCGCTCAGGGACCAACGTACTCGGCACAGCGGTAATTCGCATAAGTGATACGGCGGGAGAACCACATGCTGTACGCGTGTTGCTCGATAGCGGTTCTCAGGTGTCTGCGATCACCTCAGATTGCGCAAATAAACTCGGTTTGAAAATATTTAAAGGGTGCAGAGAGGTTGTTGGTTTAGCTCAACAACCAGTCGCTCAATCACTAGGGGAAGCAACCTGTACTTTCGTTCCTTTAGTAGCGCAAGAACCGAGTTTCATAGCATCGAAAATTTTAGTATTACCACAAATAACTAAACTTATGCCTCATGCTAAATTACCTAATACGGTACGAGAGCGTTATAAGCATTTAACCTTAGCTGATCCACGGTTTGATGATCCGTTATCAGTTGATATGTTGATCGGTAGTGATTTGTATCCACTTTTATTACCACAAACAGTGGATATAATACATAGTCCGGGTTTGCCTTCGGCCATGAGTACCCATTTGGGTTGGGTTATTTTCGGTTCGTTGAAAGAGTCATCTGAGTCGTCATTTAAATCGGAACTAGCGATTGAAGACTTAACAAGAACATTTTTTATTGTTGAAGAACCGTCTGTAAATATAGCACCCACAACCGAGGAAAAGTTTAGCCAGATGTCAACCGGTGATATCACTGTTCCGCGACGCAGAACAAGAAAACATTGCGTTAACTCATTATTTCGTAAGAATATGTTAGATGAATCAACGGAGCGGTCGGTGTTACGACACGGAAAAAAGAATTTATTTGATCACAGTTCATATAGTATGATAATTACGGACAGAGAACAAAATATTGAAAGACAATTAGAAAATTTAGCGCGAGACAGGCGTAAACGAAAACGACGCACAGTAGTCAATCGCGTCGTATAACTCGGTACAAAACCAATCTTTTAATTATCTCTTTCCTTTCCTTCTTCCCATAAGCATTAGACGGCGCTACTTATTATTTGCATTAATTTTATAAATTTTTTTCATTGTTGATTTTAGCTTAAATTTTGTTTCATTTTTTTTTAATAATTTTCTCATTAAGTATATGAAGTTATGATTGATAAATAATTTTATTAATATGTATTAATTTATTTTACTTAATATCAAAGGGATAAGGTTTTAAAAATAGGTTTAAGGTTTTTTTTTGTTTTAATTGTAAAGATATTTTTTTATTGTTTAAAAAAAAATGTTCTGACCGAGAAAGTCACTCCAGTGGAATTTTGAAAGCAAAGCTTTCAAACGGCGGGAGTATGTTCGGTCGTGACGAAACAGTTTGGTGGGTGAGCGCCGGTTTTTTATTCTCTTCAACAAGAGCGCGACCTGTCACAACTGGTTTACTTGTTAGGGTAGTGTGTGGCGGTGGTCGCGAAGGTTCATTCGCGTATCGGNTTAGGGTAGTGTGTGGCGGTGGTCGCGAAGATTCATTCGCGTATCGGCATGCATAGAGTGGTTTTGTGTATCACGGACTCTAGTGCGTTATTTTGTTGGTTTTGTTTTCTTTGACGGTTTTATGTGTTCAATTCACTCTGTTGATTGCGTCGGGCTCAACTGCTTTACTTGACACATTCACTATCTTCTTTTGGGTACAGAAAGCAAGGTCAGACTATACATTTTCTGTTTGTCAAAATATTAATTACTAAAAATTTATGTTGTTGTATTTTAGTATATTAGTTTTTAAATGTAAGTACTAACAATAGATTTAAGATAAACCAATTTTGTTACTGTATTAGAGAGTACATATTAAATTAGATAAAAAAATTACAGTCCATTAAAAACGCTTTCTTTTAATTTTATCTAAAGGAATCTTTAGACGTGATTTCACTCGGCGATTGGTCGTCCGAGTATTTCGTGTCGCACAACAGTGTATCATTACTTTTACAATGTACTATTTAAGAATTTAATTAATAAATCACATATCATGACATGTATATCAACTGACACAATAAGATATATATTTATACTTTTTAAATGTTTTACAATATACCGATGTAATTTTGTATAAAGAAACATATATTAATTATAAAAAAGAAACAGGAAATAATAAAGAATATGCAATAGTAACGTGTTAAACATAAGGTAATAAATAATGAGTAAGATATTATGTAACAAACAGTAGAACATTATGAAATGTAGATCATTATTGACGAAAATGTAATAAATTACAATTAATAAAGAAATAATGGTAGCGTCGGTGATCGCTTCTTGTCTTTGAAAAGACTATCAAGCTGTTGATGATGATGAGTGGACTGTATGAGATCTTGTGGTAATGGTATCGAACATCTGAGTATGACGAGTCAGAGTGTAAATCTAGATACGTAATGGCAGATGAGAACAGACCGCAAAAAAGCGACTACGGCAATGAAGATATTTAGTGATGGTCAGAGCCCAATCACTAGTGGCGTGCAAGGGCACGTAAACTTTGAGCACAAGGGTGCAATAAACAAGAAATAAAAAACTATGCCGTACAATGGCCGAATAATTTACTGTTCAAGCGAAGGCGCTTGCAACAGAAAAAAGATGACACATAAAAAACAACTGACTGACTGACTTACGACAATGAACTGTACACGGATGAAAACCGACACGGAGGTCATCGATTTGCCGTGATGGGTGGGCAAGGGGGTGAATAAAGCAAGATGCTGGTGATCAGCTGTCCCACGAAATAATATAATCAATGATCTTTATAACAACTGGTCAACTAGATCCTTCTAAAGGCGTTCTGTACCATACATTTATAATTATTCAAACACACTAAAAATGCGAAGTCCCAGTACAATGAATTCTTATACCACTGGTAAGTAGTGTTTGGTACAGAATGCCTTTAACAAAGATTTAATAGACCAGTTGTTACAAACATCGTTGGTTACATTATATCATGTGACAGCTGATCTCCAGGCGTCTTGTTTTACTCACCCTTTTGCCCATCCAGCACGGCAAATCGATGATCTCCGTGTACAATTCATTGTCATAAGATAGTCAGTCTTTTGTTTTATGTGTCTTTTTCTTTTTGTAACAAGCGCCTGTAATATTATATTATTTCTTATAATATTAACATATAATATTATGTTATCATTTGTACATGTATGTCACATATTATGATTATACAAGATCACTAAAACAGGGTTCTCTTATTTAAAATACAAAATAACCCTTTAATTATGGGATAAAATCTAATTATTGTAGAGATTACTAAGTAACGCCTACAACGCAGGACCCTCATTATAATTAATTAATTAGAATACAAAGCCTCAGCTTCCAGAATCACGCTAGGGATCGCTGAGCTACCCCCTTCAGACTATAAAAAGCCATTTCCCCCCGTCTAAACCAGTTCTTTCGACGATTTTAAAATACACAAAATCTAAGACACTCTACTCAAGATTTTTCACTCTCCGGGACTTAGTTGTTTTTTTTTTTAATTAATTTGGACTTCGAATATTTTTCTTTAAAACTAAATGACACTTAAAAATTTTAAAGTGAATTTTGTTTTGGTGAATCTTTTAATTTAATTTAAAACATATATATTCATATTTATCTAAGAATCTCTCTAAATTATATATAATTTTTATATATATATAAAAAAAAAATAGTATATTTACAACCCGTATTAAAAGGGTCCAGGAAAGCCGTGACCCTTAAGCCTCCGATTAATTTTTGTTAGAGTATAGCGTAAAATGTATAGTTTAAGTAGTGTCTATTATAAAAAGGCTTGTTTAATATAAGATTGAATATTTGTAAATGATAATACTTTTGTGATTAACGTAGTTAAATAGTTAAAATTTTACATTACTACATGTAGTAAACATAATATTTGTGTAATCAAAATATTTGTATTTGACACTGTCAATTTTTCATACCTAAAACCCGTTCCTATTAACAATGCCAATTTTTCTAGTTTATCTTTTTGTAGTAGTTGTAAAAAATATACATTTTGAATATTTTTCGGCTAATTTTGTATAAACTGGTTTATTATTAAAATAATGTAAAATTATAAACAAATATTTGTTATATGAAATAACAAACAATACGTATAATAATTGGTTTTTAAATAATATTAAATTAAAAAATTTTAATTCAACGTCATATCAGATAAATTTTACAAATATATATGAATTTCTATGACGTAATTTTGATGTTAATAAAATAAATTTAGAGAAAAGTAAATCGAAAACATATTTTGAAGGAATTAATTCTGATATTTTCTAACTATAAAATTGATTTATTGATAATGGTATCACCATTAATGAAAACAACACATACTAGTTATTTTAAATGGCAAATAATATATTCATGTATTTAATGCTTTTAATTTTCGAATTTTTATCATTATAGAAAAAATCTTCTTTTCGAGTAAGTACAATATTTCATTGAACATAAATATTACGAAAAGGTTGAGTAGATGCATAAAATGTTTTTTATTTTACAAAATATTAAATGATTATTATAGTTAGTTTATTTATTTTAGATAAATATAATAAAAAGAAATATGTCAATTTGGTTTTTGGCTCTGTTATTTTTTTGTGTTGTAAATGAAATTTCCAGCTATGACTCCGATGGTAAAATATATTTAAACAATTTAATTAACAGATGGTGGTTGCAAATTTTATACTATAATTATATTTTTATTTATTTTCTCTCTCAAATTAAAATAAACTTATATAATTATATTATAATTTATAACATAATTCTGAAATTTTTCAGTTTAATTTATTTTTAAACTATATTTATTTTTCACTTTTTAGTTTTTTAACACATCGCTGTTACAGTCACTGAGTGTTTCTTGGCTATTATTACTATCAATAGATATAATTTCTGTATTGCTAGTTAGTGTATTTATAAATTCACAACTATGTCTTACTACTACTACTCTTAAACCCAGCACAGTGGGTCGCGGCACAGTGGTGACGTGGCATAGATGTATCATGTATAATGATATCTGACAGTGATTAAAATCACTATCAAAAATAAACGCTTCGATGCAAATCTTTAGATAGTGTTTAATTTTAAAAAAATTGGTGTTTTATTCCAAAAGCTACTTGATCTGCTGNGGTGTTTTATTCCAAAAGCTACATTATCTGCTGTTTCCTTATTAATATCTCGATTAAGATAAAGTATGTCGAATGAAAAAAGGGTTAATTAAAAAATATTATTTCTCATAAAAAAATTGTGTGGATCCATACACTTTTCAATAAGTTATAGCATTATAAAGTTAAATATAACATAAAAAAAATAAAATCGAGAATTTTCACACGAAAATAGCATTTGGTAGCCATTTTCGCCATGAAGACAAGTCCAGAGGTCAAAATTTTTTTTTCATAATAAAGTGCATTACATTAGCTTTAATTTAAGATATATATAAAAATATCAGACCTTCCGGAACACTTTCAAAAGTTAAGTTGAAAAAGTTAATTTTTTGTAAAAAAGTTGTCATTTTAAATCCCCTCCTGTGGGCAGGTTAAGTGTCAGATTTATAAAAAAAATACACCATATGATAGGTAAAGACCTCATGCATCTATAAAAAAAAAGGTATATTGATTTAGTTTTTTTTAAAAAAGTTATGGCAATTTTAAGTAAAAAAAATTGAAAAAATTTCGAAAATTAGCGATTTTTAAATTTGTAATTTTTTTGGAGGTTTCCCCCATTTACGGGGAACGAGGGAATTTTTTTCAATTTTTAAGGGTAATGTCTTCGACTAGATACGTTTTGTGATCTTTTGACGTATCATTGAAAAAAATCGGTTCGGTGAGAGCTGAAAAAAAGTGTTAATAGACACAAAAAAAAAATAAAATAAAATAAAAAAATAAAATAAAATAAAAAAATAAAATAAAATAAAAAAATAAACACATCTTAGTAAAACCAATAAATTCTCAGCTTCGCATCGAAGCTAAAAATTATACAGGAATAGTGGTGCCGTCGTATGGTGAGCGTGGCGTGGTGTGGGGTGAATGCGTTACGACCGTCTAGTCTCAAGGCCGTAGACACGTGCGCGTGGAAAGTTACAAAAAACACACAACATACAAGTGAAACTAATATAAACGTGTTAAAATTGTTTATTACATCTTTGTACCTAGAAAAAAATCTAGTTGAACTAAATTATTATCGGAAAAGTTACTGTTGACCCAACTAAGATTTTGTTACCACAACTGTAATATCTAGTTCCCGATAGAATTAATAAATAGCCTAAAAATGACTTAATTTTTCTTGACTACCTTCATATTAAATACATACATATACACATGTATAGAAGGGAAGCTGTATCATCAGAAAAATATCTGTAGTTCTTTTTGTTAGTATTCTATAAGAGTGTGTGAATAGTATAGTATACGAGACTTTTCACACACTCTTATTATCGATAAACATTATCTAAAAAATAAAAAATAAATGTATAACAAATTTCATTTTAAAAAGTTTTTATATAATGCTTTCCAGATTCAAAAGAAGAAGAAGTCTTAAAAAGTAATAAATTATAATTTATATTATAAAACATATTTTATATTATTATTACCTAAATACCTAATTAAATTATTACGAGAATTTCAGCTTGTATTTTATAATTTAAAATTCATATTTTAAGTTGATAATATTTGAATGTTTTATGTACCAATATAATACAAGTCTTAATAAATACATTAAAAAATACCTAAAATTAATAAATAATTAAATAATAACTAACAAGTTTAACTTGACAACTTATAAAATACATCCATATACACATGTAGTATAAAAAAAACGGTAGCACAGTGGGGTCGCGGCATAGTGGAGACATTGCATAGTTGGGTTCAGTCTAGATTTAATCTGACAGTGATTAAAATCACTATCATAAGAAACGCTTCGATGCAAATCTGTAGATAGTGTTTAATTTTAAAAAATTGATGGATAATTGCAAAAGCAACATCAACTTCTATTAAAATAAAATACAAAACCCATAATT